CAAAATCGCGTGGAGTATTTACCAGCAAACTTGAATTTTGATTTCAATACCGGTATACCGGTATTTATTAAACATTAAATATTAAAAAATATCGGTATTTGAAAGAAAAAATACCAAAATACAAAAATACCGGTATTAATACCGGTATTTCACATCCCTAATCAAAAAATCGGTATACCGGTATTTCTAAAACTAATATCAATTAAAAATATCGGTATTTGGAAGAAGAAAAATACCGAAATACCGGTATACCGGTATTAATACCGATATTTTCCACCCCCTTTGTAAATACTTTCATTAAAAGTACATCAATGGCAGATTATCTTTACATTGACACATCCGCCATTTTGCACCCCAGGAATAATAAGGATTATATAATATTTGCACCTTTACGGCTTAACGTAATTAAATCCAGGTCATAGCCCTTATTGTGTGCTCAAAATCAATTTGAAAACTTCGAGCGCACAATTTACGCACTTTTAATTACATTGTGCGCAATAATTTAGATTTGAAATTCTACGTTCGTAAACTTGTTAGCCCGAATTTTATTTCCTATCTCAGAACGATTTTCACATTTTCCCGACACATGCCTGCAAGCTGGGTAATAAATTCGAGGTGGCTGATTGCTAATTTCGAAATTAATCCGTGCGTTAAATTATAATGATGAGAATCTGCAGGCGGCACACGATGATAAAATAAAATTGATTCTAGTTATACACTTTGTATATATTTACATTATTTTGTTGTTTTATTACTTAATTTTATTTTAAAAATTATTTAAACACCCTGTATATTTCCCTAATCATATTTAATTACTCTTTAAACACTTTGTATATAATTTTGTTGTTTTTCTATATATTATGTGAATATTTTCTATAATTTTACTAGGAATTGATTTAAAACACCCTGTATGTAGGCAAAAACAAATTCAATTAAGGCTCGAAGGACTTTAAGACGTTCCGGGGCTGGAGTTGATTGTGTCGGCTACTTATGTACGAAAATGAAAGGTTTTTTTGCGTCCGAAGCTCGTTTCAAGATAAAAAATCAGAAAAAACGCGTTTTTTTAATTTCTTTAAAGTTAAAAGTCATTTTAAGCAATACTATATATGACTGTGTAAATGATTAATATTCATATTTATAATTTAGAAAGTTTTTTACCATTTGGCCGAATTTTGGAACAAAACAACGCGCTTAATTATTCCGCAAAGTTCAAAAACTTGCAAATCCCATCTTATTCCCTCGAGCGCGCGCACATCCGGCTGACATGTAACATGTAAAGGCAGTATAAGCACAGCAAAATGGTAATTTGTCATTGTCGTGTTTGTTAAGTAAGCGACACGATCGCGTAGGCCGGTCCGGGCGTGCACCCCGACGCGAAATTAATAACGTTCAATGAAATTTAAATTCCGCGCGGTGCGTTCGTTTTATTTGGAAGGAAATTAGAAAAGACCTTGGCCGGAAATTTCACACTGCACACACACGTGAGCCGGTCATGGATCGAGGGCGTGGAACCGGCGAAGGACATAAATCAAATTGAGGAACGTCTTGAAGACAGTCGAGGTGTGGAGCTGTCGCTTCTGACAGCCGCACGCAAAGGATGATACGATTGAAAAGTTTAAAGATATCCAGCGTGTGAACTTGAGGGTAAAGTGGGGAGAGAAAAATTGAGGTTAGGTGTGTGTTGGTGTGCACATGGCCCATATAGATAACGAAGTGGGTTAGATAAACACCACACAGGACGTGATGAGTAAGGTAAAGGTTGATTATCATACGCGGAGTGCTCAATCTTGCATGTTTTGCGCTTCCCTTCTGCATTGCTTATCGGTTTTTAATCTTCAAGGTGGTTTTTTGTATCGTTGCTGATTTCTAAGAGGTTATTATTTGTACAATGGTGGATTGTACTTGTTAAAGTGACAAAAATCAAATTTTAGAATATTTATACTCAAAATTGCAATTACAATCAATTTTTTGTTAAATATCAAAGGTTTTTTACAAGATATTTGACATCCAACGCCATCTAGTGTAAAATTTGTATGTTTGGTTGCCTATGTTACGCAGCACAAACAATTTTCTTTATTTTTTGTTATTTTAATTCAATATTGTTTTACTTATTAAATCTTTACTTAAAATTGGTTAAATTTAGATTCAGAAGTGACAAGGGTGAATGGCGGGTGAATAATGTAAAACTAGAGCAATTAATTACAAAAGTTGAATGACTGAATAAACCCCTACTTAGCCAACAAACAATAAACATTACAATGACAGGAAAAGTCAATAAAAGTGCGATACACGCACCTCGCACATGAGTTTCATACATATTCAAACCTATGGAAGTCATTGAATAAACGAATGTACCTGCGAAGTGACGTGGGGAGACACATGCGACGATAACGAAAGCTGCACGCTCGCGGCCGATAAAATCGATTATTAACGCCTAATTCCAAAATCGATGCGCAAACTATAAATAGCTAACCATTTCGGCAGCATCGCCAGCACCCAACTAATATTCCATTCATATTTTGTTTTCTTCTTCAAAAAATTCCAATTTTCTACTTGGAAACAAAAAGTTTCCTTATTAGATTAAATGATGATTAGAAAAGTGCAAAATGCGATAAAATGTGATAAATATTAAAATTTCATGCACAAAATTAAGATGAATAGATGAATATTAACGTTCTACTTATGTGATTAGATAACGTGGATAAGATCGAAGAAAAAGAAAGAACGATGCACAATTTGGTCATAAAAAGTTGTAAAAAATGTACAATATATAATTACTTGACGGTACCAAAAACAGTAAGAGAATATATTTTGTTATAAAAGTTGAATTATATATAGAGATATATAGATAAAAAAGTAGAGATCGAGAAAGGAAAAAAAGTTTGAAACATGCGCATTGCGCGTACCCACGAAACCGGGCTCCGCATATCGATTCTTTCTTTCTCTACACACGAAGAGAGAGGGATCCTTCGGCATGGCAATCATGGCAATGGCAATGGCATGGGCATGACATCCACGACGAGAGAGCGGCGAACACTGGCAAACGCGCGCCCCGTTTCGCCACTTCTCTCTACAGCGCCTACATAACAATCACAAACACGCATTCAGGATTAGTTGGTACACATAATCGCAGTTGAACGATGTTATATATCACATATCACATCATATGGCACGCTTCAATCTACTTAGGCTGCAACTGGATCAAAATTACAAGCGAAATAAATCGATTTCTACGAAATACCAGGTGTTCATTCATGTTTTTCCTCAAGATGGCTGACAAATCTGTGTGTTTGGTTGCCTATGTTACGTTAAACAAAAATTTTATTTTTTTGTTTTTTTGTGTTTTAGTTCAATAAATTATATTGAAATTGAACTGACATTAAACGATTTTACAGGAAGCACGCCCAAATCCCTATTGTCCGGTATAAAAACACTATATGCGTACGCAATGACCATTTTTCATTTTCGTTTTGCGTTTTGTACGTTTCGGCCCCTCAAAAAGGCTTAATGTGCGTTCAGTTAACCTAAATAGTACATATTGGCGTCAGTATATGCCGGATGTATCCGCTGCCATACCGGAAAGGTATATAACATGTATGGCAAAGCATTTTTTCCCCTCCGGTTATACTTTTTAGTTGATTCCGCTTTGTGCGCATCGTTCCTCTGTACACACACGGCGGGCTTTTGTTTGCTTATGCCAAAGCTCCAAAAGCTCCAAATATCAGCCACAGTTTCAATCAAAATTCATTTTTTCATTCGAAATTCTATTTCTAATTAAAATTAATTTAATTTTAAACTTGGTTAAGGTTAAGAGCTGCGTGACAATAGATGGCGTTACTGTGTCTGATGGCAGAAGATTTTATTTTTAATTAAAAACGTCAGTAAAATAAGGAGGTAAACTCGGATTGCGTAATGCTCCGCTTAAAATGTAATTTGGTCCGAATTTCAACTGCCTCCACATGCTATTTACAAAAATAAAAAGAAAAACTTTTAAGGCATTAAAATAATAAGAATATGAAATAAAAGAGTTTCTTTCGGCGAAAAGTTTGCTTCTCGCGCGGAAAACGAGCTGGCCGGCTTTAAATACTTAAACGATGAGTGAATGCCACAAAGAAATCGCGAACAAAACGGTGAATGGCGGCGGTTAGTGCACGCGTGAACGAATCGGCGCACTCACGACTTTTTCCATTATTAAAACTCACCCGCGAAACACTGGAGAACTAAATAATTCATTAGTATTTTTACTGTTGTGTTAAAATTACAAATTAGAGACTTGCAGCTTTGCTACACCACAATATTGATTTCTAGTAAAAAATTTTGAATTCCAAAAATTTTGTTTCTTGTTAAATGTGAATCATCCTTCATCGCAGCGAGAAAAATGATCGCACATTTCATGGGAGCGGTCGTGTCCTTCGCCCACGTGAATCCAAGTGTGCAACCGCCCTTGAGGATCATCGGGAGCATCGTCATTGTTTTCCCCGAACGACGAGACGCACATTGAAATTTCGTCGAATTCAGCATCATTCAAATCTAGCACTTTGCTAATTGCTTTCCAGGCTACGTTCAGGATCATTTACTCAAATTGATTTTTTTCTGAGTTACGCTTGTAACGTAATCGGCATTTATTCGATTCGTAGCTCATTAATGAATAATTCCGACGTTTACTCTCATTGACGTCATGGTTTTACTCTGACATGTTGACATTTAATCTTTTATTTGTAATCATAATTCAAAAAATCGTTTAAAAATGACGTCAGAAACTATTTTTAGGTTAATTCTTGTAGGTTATGTTTTTACAATGAACACCTTTGCAAATAAAAAGCATATAAAAAATTTTCACATGAAAATTAAATAATAATAACAACAGCAAGAGCAGCAGTAGCACAAATTGCGAATAGGTTATAAACATCGATACACAGAAAGCGGGACAAAATATGTATCACATTAAAACGACATTTATAGCACAGCAGAATAGAAAACAATGCGTGGTGTGCTCATACCTCCATATGACCGATTGTTCCGCCGACCTAGCCTTTGTGATAAGTAAAGTTTTCTCCCCGTTTCTGTATAAATAGAAAGAAGAAAGAAATCGTTAGTTAGGCATACAGATATACACACAGTGCTGAAATACAGAGTCACAGAGTAAGGTTAGGAGAATATGCCAAGAGTGGCTTATAATGGATGTGTTTATGACAAAATGACGCCGGTGAGATGTGGGCCCAGGAGCTGTCAGCGACAAGTACAACCCTCATTAGCCATCCTCCTGGCTAAAGATGACAAATTATCGCATCTACTTAATTACTTGTATGTGATGCAAATTGACTTCCCAGTGTAATCGTAAATTTGTCACGCTTTTATCACGTTTATTCCTGGTATAATAAAAAGTCAGGAAAACGAATATCGAACGATATGTGACATGACATGATCAACGAAATCAAGCATCACACAATGGCAACAATGCCGAGGGTGCGAAACGTGTCGAGTCGTAAATGTTTCAATGGGGTGGTAAAATATCCATGTATTGTGTATGCGAAAATGAGGCGCTATTCTCAATCAAGTAATAGTTGTACTTTGATTTTGTGAAATTTTTGTAATTTTGAAATTTCACAGCGGGAAATTGTTACACATGCGATGAAAGAGAAAGATTTCGTATTACGAGCGGCCCAGCTGGCGGTGGAGCCAAGTGGGGGCGGGAAAAACTCTCTGGGGCTGCGAGGGATGCGAGTCGCGGCCTTGATCGCTTATCGATCCCGTGTAAACCTTACGTCACGGTTATACATGCTTCGAGGAGCGCATCAATCATAGTGATCTTCGCGGCGACTATCTGCGGGGACAGAATGTTGCGCGGTGAAAATTATCCTAATGACTCAAGCTGGATTTACGCGTAGTATTTACTTCACAGACGCAGTGAGGTTTTATTTTTATTTCTGACCTGAATATTTTTCTCGCGTTGTAATCGTAATGTGTTATCTATTCGGAATGCGATGCTCTTTTTGGTTAGGAGTGTACTTCAGCAAATCAAAACGGAAGTGTTTTCAGATTATCAAGTGTCGTCGAGGCGTCGCGACGTTTAAATGGAATTATCGCTGTGTAATGTTATTATGCTGATATATACACTTTCAGCACTCTTGTTTTAAGGAGGGGAGCTATGGGGAATTCAAAATTGGGTAATTTTAAATGTTTTTAAATTTTTTTAAAGAAATTATAATTTTAATTTGAACACCCTGTATCTCCTGCTATATTAAACGTTTTTGCTTGTTATATAATGGTTAGAAATCCTTTTTGTAGCTATTTCTACTCTTAAAATTAAAATTTTCTAAAATTTCTTAAATTTTATCTGGAAAACACTCTGTATCTTCTGTAAAATTAAAGATTTCTAAGGTTTTCTTTTGTCATATAATAACTATAAAACTCTTCTAAATAATCCCATCATCTCCCCCCCTAAAACTATTTTTTTCTATTAAATTTTTACAATTTTTCCAAGACAACACCCTGTACATCCTGTCCAAATAAAGGTTTTCTTGCTTTCTAAGATGAATATAAAGATTTATACCTAAAAATATTTACTACCTCATCCTTTAAAATATTTTTTATCAGTTTTACACCCCTTTTAACCCCATTTGAAAACAAAAACAAAAAAACCCAAAATTAATTCCGTATGTGAATCAATCTCCTTTATACTCTTCTAAAGCTTATTACGTGCATGTTTTAAGCTATGCAAATCAACTACACTCCCCGCAGCGTAAAAAAACCCTCGCAACACTAAAAAAATGGTCACGGTTGCCGCATGCGGAGTCGGATTTCGTCCTTTGATGGCCGCCTATAAAAGTGTCGAGGCTTAGCAACCCACCAAAATCTGCATGATGAAATAGACACCCCCGTAATGAATATCCATGCTGGTGACGGAGGCGGCATTGATACACCTTGGCATATATATTGGCGTCATGTAAGGCAACGCCCTATAGGCAACCCAACGCGCTTATATAACCACACCACCAACAGTTGAAAAAAAAAACTACTTTAAAACTATCCCACAAATATTTGTTTGTGACACTAGTGTAATGCATTAATAAATATAAAAGAAAACTTTTCAAAAAGTTGGTAAAAGTAATGATTTCTAACTCAGGCATATCAATAGTGCGATTATAACGTCAGCCGGGTATCGATACGGAATCGGAATGGTTATCTAGGTATGTTCGAAGAAGAAGTTCGCGGGAGTTCACCGGCGGCGGCGGCGGCGGTTGTGGAATTAGAGGCGTGCGTTGTACGTGGGAGGGCGCCTGTAGAGAAATGTCATTTCCTCGCTTGCGCCGCGGCATCCCTTCCTTAAACTGGGTCGAATGTGAATCCAGCTGATCAATAGACTTGGGTACGCTCTCGCGACACGGCCGCCCGAAACCCAACTCCTCCGAACTTTACACGTTTTACACCTTTGCACGGCGCAAAGGATTTAAACAAGGAGCGTGCAAATAAGAAACAAAGAAGTGGGACCATGTCACTGGGGACCTGGCTGTTACCCAAGGAATACGGGAATTGAAATTGTGGCATTTTACTAATAACAATACCGGTATACCGGTATTTTTAGGTATATATTGGAAATGATGAAAAATATCGGTTTTTGAAAAAAATTTATACAGTTGGAGAAAAATACCTGTTTTTCGGTTAACCGGTATTTTAAAACATAAATACCGGTATTTTTATTGGATGTAATATTTGATTGAAAAATACAAATTTTTGAAAAAATAAACCGGTGTACCGGTATTTTTAGGTATATATTGGAAATATTGAAAAATATCGGTATTTTAAAATAAATTTAAAAAGTTTATAAAAATACCGATTTTTCGGTTAACCGGTATTTTACAACAAAAATACCGGTATTTTTTATTGGAAGCAATATTCTTGTGAAAAATACAAATTTTTGAAAAAATAAACCGGTATACCGGTATTTGGTATATATGTGTATGTGTATAGATGTGATATATTATCCTCGTAATGCTAATGCACGAAGGAAAGTCTCGTAGGATGTACAATGGCGAAGCTTCAGTGAATTATGCCCCTTTTTTTACACACGGATGACACGAGCAGCCAGCCATTGTTGAATTACGCTTCGTTACTTATACACGAAAGAGACACATACACACGACGTGTAGTTTTGCAAACACACAATTCAGCGCCGCCGCCGCCGCCGCCACCAACTCGAGAGTAGTCCCATGGCGGTGAAGGTCTTGTGCTCTTATGCGCTTCGCACATGTCCATTCATACATGTGCACACACCGTATCGCGTTGATATATGAAAATGTCAGGCGCGCAGAAAGCTCTATCGGTGCGCGCACACTGCTCGCACTTCCGGTCCTTAAACATTGCATTTAGCGATATGGCGTACCAAAAACTTTCCTCCACATTATAATATTTCACTCGCTGATTGGTATAGAGTGTACACAGGCGCAGCAGAACGGAAACCGGATGCGGCAACGTCGAATGCGACATGGACTAAAATTTCATTTCCGTTTCAATTGCCGGCACGACGTAAGTAAGCCGGTTTACGTTCGTTAATTAAAAGAAAATAAATACCTGTTTTTGTATCGGTAAAAAATACCGGTTAACCGAAATAAATACCGGTATTTTTATTTTTAAGTATATTTTTCGATACAGTATGACTCAGAATACCGATATTTTTTTTTAAAATACTGGTTAACCGAAATAAATACCGGTATTATTATCGGTAAACCGGTAATTTTATTTTTAAATTTATTTTTCGATATGAAATGCACATGAATACCGAAATTTTAATTAAAAAAAAACGGTTAACCGAAATAAATACCGGTATTTTTATTTTTATACATATTTTTGATTTTTGATATATCTGATGCATAAGATTACCAAAATTTTTATTAAAAAATACCGGTTAACCGAAATACCGGTATTGAACTAAAAACCTACATTTCTCACATTTGCCACTGAAAAAAGTAAATAATAAGTATAAGGAATAAATGGATGAATAAGTACTTCCCAAATTACTTCCCGTAATTCTTCGAATTGCCTCGAAGTAACGCACAGCGCCATGGGAGTTGGTTGGCGTTCTCGCAAAGAGACGGCATAATCGTTTTCCTTCGCTCCACCCACCCACACACGCTTGCATATACGCAAAAGCCGCTACGATTGCAATTGCTTTTTGCCACCGGTCCCACTTGTGCGCTAACAAGTGCGCGCCCCTTGGCGACGTCGCGACGCAAACGAAAGCAAACCGATGGCCCTATCATAACGCGGCGCTTTGCATTAAAAAAATATTAAATCACGTCTGGAGACGTCCGCCCATCGAATATATTAAATTTATGCCCTTGTTGTTGTTCCCGCACCGGGCGCTCGCAGAAAAAAACGAACGTATTTCGAAACCCTTCAATTCTTTCTTAAAGCAATTCAAACCCGGATGCAGACTTTTGTTATCTCGTGTATTTGCGTATTTCGTTATTTTTATTTTCCGGTTACCTGCTTCCGCAAGCCAGGCAAAACGGAAACGGACGATAAATATATTTGTTCTGCTTCACGCTGAACGTGTTTGTAAACAACTATCAAAATGGCCGCTGTGTGAGATCATTAACTGCATATAACCTAGAAATAAATCCAAAATACAAAAATACCGGTATTTTTATTTTATAAAACCGATATTTTTCAAAAACCGATGATTTAAATTACTAATTGCATAAATGATAATTTTAAAAATACCGGTATTAAAACCGGTATACCGGTATTTTTCTACCTCAAAATACCGGTATTTTCCAAAAAACAAATAAATTAATTTTCAAATAGAATAAAAAAATAATTTTATTAATACCGGTATTACCGGTATACCGATATTTCAATTAAAAAATACCGGTATACCGAAATACCGGTATTGAACTAAAAATTCACCCAAAACAGTAAATAATACATGAATAAATACCTTTTGCCGTGAAAATTTGAAATTAAATATTTAACGTGTTTTATTTTATCTTCGCAGGCAGGTGGAGAGTATTCTCGCAACATAAACCATAAAACTTTTCGAATTACACATGAGTGTGTAGCA